GGCTAAAGAGAGAGCCAAAAGAGGATTGTGTAGAATCCTGCATAATCTCGAATGTTATCAGTTCCGGTACGTAGACCAAATGATACAATGCGAGCAAACAGTTCTTTTTACTTTTAAACGAAGTTACAAATCTTGTTTTTAGTATTTATATTAATACTAAGAATAATAGATGATATATATATATATATATATATATACATATATACACGCGCGCGCACACACATATATATTAGAAAGTATCAATTAATTCTTAATATTGATGAATATTTTGATATTTGTTTACAATGCATTGTCTCAATTATAATCCTTCAGATGATGAACAAGTGGCTTGTTTTTACTTTTGAAGTATAAAGTGAGTCGCAAAATGCTTATTGTCAGTATTATGGACATTCTGCTTTAAGATTTATAATTTCCTTGACGTTTTTCAGGTCGTCGATGGACTGGATTCTTTTTCAAAAGGTGGTTCTCTTGAAATGATACAATCCATCAGGAAGTCTATATCAAGCAATCTGTATACTTTTGTTTTCAGTGATAGCTTCAGCTGTGCCTATGTCCCAGTTGTACAAGATCTCCTCAGTGGCCCAATTCAAAGACTATCTCTTAATACTTCTGTGGCCAGTCGAAGTGCCTGCATTATTCAGTCGATAAACTTCTTTACATCTGAAGAGGAAAAACTATCAAAGGTACGTATGTACATCAACTTCATATATTTCAGTGCAGCCTCTGGTTTGTTAACTGCTGGGGAATCTCTGTTCAGTCTTCCAAAACCGTTTTCAGAAGGAAAAACCTTATGATGAGTTGTATTTTATTGTGAGCCTAACTTCTTAAACCTTGAGGTAGCAGTCATTTGCCAAGTTGTGATGTAAAATGGATAGATGTCGTATCCCAGTTTCTAGGAAATTTTTGATTGTGGATGTGACCCTCACATCCTGATACTGTTCAATCACTTTTGAACTTTTCACTTTTTAGTTGGTAATTCTTACTCCTAAAGTCATAGTTTGCAGCAATACTAAGAAACGAAGCTTCTCCTTTTATCATCGACTTTTCATTTTACTCTCTCACACTAGGATTGGAAATTCTATTAACAGTCATCATTAATGATCTTTGAAGGTCATCCAAGCTTTGGATAGAGCCAATGGCAGTCAGCTCTGCCCACAGCCGTTGAAGATGCTCTTTATTCTTGGGAAGGAGTGTAATGTTCAGGAATTAGCTGCTGCTCTTAAATCCAAAGGCCATGATATTGTAGCGGGAGCATTATGTGGTGTCCCAGAACTTAAGAACAAGTAAGCATGCGCATGCCACTAGCTTTTTTATGCTATTCTAAAGGTTTTTTAAAAGAAAAAAATCGAAAATTTCATACTACAAAGAAAGATTGTTTTTTAATATAAATATTTTAAATTATTATTTTTACCTGAATCATATGCATTAGCCTTCAAGTAGTTGATTCCTTTCTAATTTCCTACTTGGATTTTTGAGTCTATGCATAGTTGCTAAACAAGGATTGGTTTTTTAGTAAGGCACGAAATGTTTTGTTAAATATTCAATATGATTTTATAAGATCTAGTTTCGAATTATAGCCAATTGAAAGGATCTTCTAATCATTTTAGAGAACATTTCGATTCTATCGATAATCTTTCTAAGATATGCATGTAGAAAATGGAAGGCCTCTCCTAGTTGGGTAGTGTGCTTTTGAATTTCATTGGTAAACATTGGCACTAGAACTGCGGATTCCAGAAAAATGTCGTGTGTCTTTCAAATGTTTAGTTATTATTAATGCCTCCATTCTCTACTAGGAAAAAAGGATTGGCACATGTTTCTTCCTCCAATCATTTTTCATCCATATTTGTATTTATACTCTTCGAAAAACTCATATTTTTACCCTTTTCATTTTTTATTAGTTCGGAAGTAGACAGCAGATCGAGGCCCGTGGTAGCCAAGATTGATATAGAGCAAATTAATACCATAGATCTGGGAAATTATGATAGCATATTCATACTCTATGCCTTTCCACCAATAGACAAATATGTTCAGATTCTAACAGGAATGGCTCGTCATACGGTCAATGGTGTGTTGCACAGCTTCATTACCAAGGAAGAAGCATCATTTGCTGGTTCCTTGGTTGAAATCCTTGAAGAATGTGGGCAGGCTGTTCCTGAAACTGTAAGAAACTTATCCCTTACAAAAGCCACATCTCAATCTTGATCATCAATTGCCTCTTCTAATTGCCATCATCATGTCTGTATAATCAAAATTTTGACCATTGAAATCTTTTTTTTTTTTTTTTTTTTAAATCATGTACTGATTACTTTCTACACTTTCATCGAAGAATTCTACACCTTGTCTATTGTTCTTCCTTTTCCTTTTGTTTAATGATGATTATATGTGTCAGTGATTTTAAAATAGTTAAAATCAATTTCGTCATGCTTAAAATCTTTTTAAAACATGTATTTAATCATTACAAATCAGTTTCATGTTTGGTTTTGTAGTTATCAAATCATCCAAATTGGCTCTAAATATTAAATGTATGTTTCCAAGTGAATTTAGTCATGACAAAAGTGATTTTAACACACTTTCAAATATACTCGAACAGGAACAGTAAGTGGTGGGTGAGCATAAAGCTATTGTAACAAATATGGTTGCTTTACACTTCAATATATTTGTTGAGAAGTGCATGGTTGCTTTAAAATGCAATATATTTGTTGTGAAGTAATGCACAAATGAATTTATCGTTGATGTGTTGAATTTCTGTGGTATTTTGATCTAAAAATATTTAGAGAATCATTAATAGGCATAGAAATGATTGAATGAATTAATTTATATATATATTTACAAAGGGACGAGGAATTTTATTTCCATGAAAGTAGTTTTTAGTGTTATTATTATTATTATTATTATTGTTGTTGTTATTATTTAGTTTTCAAGGACTGGTTGGTGGGAAATTCATAGGTAGACAGCCTAATGAAGCTTGTGATTCAAGTCAGCTGAAGTTCCTTCTCAACTTCACAATGAGCTTTGAGAGCTCGACACTCCCTCTTCATCTAACACTTCTTCTAAGCTCGGCTCCCAAAACGGTACTTTCGTTCTTGATCTTTCATGAAATTAACGATTTATCAATCAGTTTATAAATATATTTGGTTCTTAATCAATGTATTCGACTAAACTTGCTTAAAAAAAGTTTATTAAATCTTTCTAGTATAAATCATTGCCAAAGAGACTAAATTGTTATATATAAAAGTTTTTGAACTAAATTGTTAAATTTTTAAAGTATAGGACTATAATTGCAAGCTAAAATTTAGAAGCTAAATTGCTATTTCCATGAAATTTCTCGGGTCAAAAGTCTTTTTTTAACCTTGATTTTAGATTTCTTGATATCGTCTCTCATTGTGTACATATATGTCAGTAGGTTAAAACATATCCATATGCTCGTTGAACTTAAAATAAAAAATGTCAAAACATGAGCACCAAAGAAGATTTTTTTTTTTTTTTAAATCAAATTTCACAATTTGTATTATTTGTTTTGAGATAATGATTTGGACCGTATATCCGCCCTCGATAATACGACATGTACACTTCTATATTCTAATTCATAGATATTGAAGATTAAAAATTCTCAATACGAAAAAATAAAAAAGATAATTATTTTTTAATTCAACAATTACATAGATCAAAAATCAACCATCAAAATAATAATTATTGCCCTATATCAATAATAGCATAAATTTCCACCATGGATCTAAACCTCCCAATAGCTAAGGCATAAGAGGCAGCTGCTAACGGTCTTATATCCTCACCCACTTTTGAGATTTCCCATATAACCAAAATAATAATAATTATTATTATTATTTAATTATTTTTTATCTTCCATACTCGAGAAGTTTTATAGTTTCAACCATGCGTAGAAATTAGTTCAAAGCTATTTTGCGTATACAGTTACCCGTACATGTCTCACCTGATTTAATCGTTCGCATAAGCTAATAAGAGCCAAGCTACATATAAACTTATTAGTTTTTTTTTTTTTTTTTTTTTTTTTTTTTTTTTTTTTTTTTTTTTTTTTTTTTTTTT